TGTGTGTGCGCGAGCGCCCGTGTGTATGCGTGTGTGAGTGTGTGTGTGTGTATGTATATGTGTGTGTGTGAGTGTGCGCGTGCGTGCGTGCATGACTGGGTAGATAATGTTTTAACGTGTTTGTCCCAGTTGTTCAGTAGTGAGTAAAGCTCTGACACAGATGGGCACAAATTAATATTTTCTCTATTTTATAAGGGAAAAAAATGATGGAGAACACCTAGCATAATTTGATACGTTGAGATTATAATTTTGTTAACAAAATAAGACATTATTTATACTGTACACTGTGGATACATTATTGACGATTGTTGTTGAAGCTGCCAAAGAATTGTTGTTGATTTATGGTTTTATTCTCTATGCAAACAGCTCCCAAAGCATTGTCTAACAAGCGTGCCGAGGTTTTTGTATTTTCAAATTTTCTACTAACATTATTATAACATTGTGATGTCGTTGCTGCTGCACTTTGATTTCGTCTTCTGTTTAATCTAAAATCCCATAAACTCGTCCATAACCTCCCGCCTTAATTTATGCTATTGTAAAAAAAAATTATATTTTGATAAAGATTTTAAAACCGCTTCGGAACCATCAGAACTGGTATTACTGCGGCAGTACATTTTTACTGTACTGTTAAAGTCTTTATCGTTGACACACCTTTGCACTTATGAAATCTTTCAGCGAAACCTGCCTCATTAAAAAAAAAAAAACCCACTTGCCTTTTTACAAACCTGAACAGGCTTTGTTTGCAAATGGGCCTTCAGCTCAATCCGTGTCATTCTGCACCGTTGTTCGAGTAGTCGCAGTTCGAATTCAAAATGGCACTCTCAAGTAGTTATACTTTTTGCTGAGTTCCATTGCTCCGTAACGAGGTTTACTCGATCCTGTCGAAGCAGGTCGATTACAAAACTCCCAAATTGGTATCTTTGCTATAGCTATTAAGGTACCATTTTTTAACCAAAGAGTTAGGGTTGGGACAAAAGTAATATATAAACTCCAAGCTATTTTCATTTCAGACAGCATCAGAGTATCAACGTTATCGGTGAATAATGATTTGTACCAAATACAAAAAGAAATTCGCATTCGAATGATTTATTTATGCCTTTATTATATTTTTTATCTGACTATCATTTATCGGTTCTATTTTTCTATTTATTTTTAAAATTTGTATTTTATCTATTTGTTCAAATAATCTTATTAGTTTATATCGATTTCAATCGATAAAGTCAGTAACTTAATTGCATTGTTATGGGTACAATTTGTATTTATGTCTCAATTATTATCATTATCATGACTTCAAAATGGTGCGCAACGTCTAGGACATTATATCTGTCATTATCATTATCATTATCATTACTATTATCATTATCATTATCATACTACTTCTACTACTACTACTACTACTACTACTACTACTACTACTACTACTACTACTACT